TAGAGGTTAATTAAACGGCAAGCCGATCCTGGAGACATGGTCAATATCAGTGCGACGTTGCTAAGTAGTTATTATCTCGGGTAAATCTAAATACATTTTTTGATTTTTAGTAATTCCAGGTTTACAAAAAAAATAGGCTTTGTAGAAACAAAAATAGTTGAAATAAACATTATATTTTTTCACTAAAAATACAGCTACAGACTCGCTTTTTTTTTTAAATTTTGATTTATTATATTAAAAATGCTTTCTTTTAAATATCAAAATTTGGACTCCGTAGCCCCATTGTGCACGACTCCATAAAAAAATATTAAAAAATAGGCCTGGAAACTTGGAATTAGTTTTAAGTCAATTTTAGTACATGGATAACAACGCTCTTAATTAAAATAATCTAAAGATCCATTAATCTAATAATTGATTTTAAGATAATACAAAGAAAATAGATTTTATTTCAGTCCAATAAAAAATGCGTTATGGGCAATGAACTGTGAGAATTTGATTCCATAAAATAAAATATTTTTTGCCTTTTTGTTCTCTCAAAAATGCATACTGGTTAAATGAAATTGTATTAAAAGGTATTTTTTAAGTGCTTTATTGAAAAGTAAAAAATATAAAAACTCATTTTTAACTATAATAGTATATTATACTATTCACCAAGGGACTGAAGTGATACTTTTTATCCCGAGGCGAAAAGTAATTACACTTTTTGACGATGCAAAATTTTGGGTTAAATAAAATGAATAGGGAGTACAAAAAGTACAAAATGTAGCCTTTGGCTCATATTGGTATAAGAAAACTAATTTTAGAAATAAATATGCTCGATAATTCCATATTATAAAACAATCGTTTAATTACCTTATAAATTGTAATTGGATTAGATATTTACTAATAATGGATAAGTTAATAACAATCGAATGTAAGATTAAAAGTCAATTAAATTATATCGATATATCGATTAATCTAATAATTTAGTAATAATTATTTGAAAATAACTGATTAATAGAAAATAATTGATCTCTCGATTGATCTAAAAACCAATCGATTGAACAAAAATAATCGTTTATCCCTCGAATATAATCGATTAATTCCAAATAATCGATCATTTAATAATTGTTTACCTTCATGGACATTTCTGAAAGCTGGAGTCGTTTCTAATGGCCGTTTGCACCGACAATTTTAAGGGAAACTTAAGGTTAAGTAATACTTAAGTACACAAAAATCGTTGCACCGATCATTAAGTACCACTTCCAACCTTAAGGGTTTCCTACTAAAGTAGCCAAATGTGCATACCTTCTTTAGTAAGTATTTGGCACAAAGTAGTTGTTTCGTTGGGATTTTGGAGGTGAAACCCGCCCATTGACATTGATAGTATTGAACCAACCTGATACTGTTTTTTTTTTTTTTAATTTATGTCATTGGTATCAACTGATACAGTTATTAGCCTCGTGTTCTGTGTAGGGTTTTTACTGTTTCCCAGCGCCACTTTAGGAACAGCACTATTAATTACTACCCAACAGTGAATGGTCGAGTGGGGAATCCTACCAAGGCATCAGAATTAATTTTAAATAATTAAATTAAATGAAAAAATCCCGGCCAACAGTGGGATTCGAACCTGGGACCCTTGGATCTGCAGGCAGAGACTCTACCACTGAGCCACCAACCCCGTGATATTGTTATTTATATTTATTGTTATTTCTTTAGAAAATAGTGTTTGTTTGCAAAATTGACATGAATCCAGCCGATTTACAATTGTTTAACGACGATCAAGATATTCTAGATTTAATAAATTTCGGATTTCCTAGGCGCATTTATGAGAGATCAAATTATTATGAAGAAATGGATAACCTCACATTTTTATTTTATTTTAGAAACAATTGTATTACGCCTACGTTTCTTTGCAAGTTCTGGACATTTAAGTAGTGTGGCCGATTTTATGCGTCTAGAAGTTTCAACGGCATCAAGAATCGTTGCTCGTGTCTCTAGGGCAATATCACAACTTTTACCAAATTAAATAGGTATGCCAGATGAACAAGACTGGGTGAAGGAACAGGCAAAATTTTTTGAAATTGCAAGATTTTCCAGAATAATAGGATTAGTTGATGGAACCCATATTAAAATCTAATCTCCTGGGGCTCGATTCTCGAGTTCATTGGAAAATTTTCCCATTGGAAAAGATTCCACTACTTATATTCCCATGGTAATAGGTTATGCAATTCTCGAACTTGTCGGAATAGACATTCCCATGGAAATAATAGTTTCACGTATGTCTGATATTAAGTTCACGAATATTTCGAAATAACCAATAACATTAAAGATATTTTAAAATTTACTGTTGGTATTATTTGTATTTGTTGTGGTTTTTGGGTAACCGATTACCTACCGAGCCTCTGCGCTGGAGCAGATGCCGTGCCGAGCAATCGCTAGCTTGACCGAGGACAAGTGAAAATATTCGATTATGTATAATTAAAACTTTTCGAGTTATTTTTAGTTTTTCTTTTCACATATTGAAAAAAGAAAAAGTAGCTTTTGTATAGAAGAGCAACGAAAGTTTCGAGAAACTAAGAAATTCTTTCGTTAACGGAAATAATAAAATTTTCGAAAAGGTCTTATTAAATTTACTACAAATTTCTCAATTTGTGTTACCTATTTGCCAGTCCCTTAGCAACTCCCACAATTTATAACTAATTTAAGAAAATCAGTTTCTTAGTGAAAAAGAGGTAAAAATAATATACCCACATAAATAAAATAATATCAATTTGTAAATACACAAAAAAAATGTTTTAACTACAATTTCACCAAGATATCCAATAATCTTTGGTTATGTCTTAGTCTTTCGCGTGGTCTTTCGTCAAATTTTCGACTTTAATGCGCAAACTCTGGTACAATTCCCATTGGAAAACATAATTTCCAATGCTCGTAAGCAGGGGAATATTTTCCCATACTTCTCATTGGAAAATATTCCACCGCTTATGCCGAGAATACGAAAACTGAATTCCCATGGGAAAATTTTATTTTCCCATGGGAATAAAAGTCGAGAATCGACCCCCTGGTAAGCCTTTACAGTGAGAAATATTTTTGATATTAATAAATCATATTTTAGGAGGCAACGATGCCGAGATTTTTAGGAATAGAGCCCGTTTTGAAGGAAATCATTTTCCAAACTGTTTGTTGATTGGTAAGAATATTTGCCAATTTTTAATTTAGAATATTAATTATATAAATTATTTTAAGGGGATAGTGGATACCCTTTACGGCAATATTTTATGACACCTCTTGGAGATCCGCAAATTAGAGCGGAGCAGCTGTATAATAAATCCCTGATCAGGATAAGAAGTGCTGTAGGAAGGTTAATACGGTTGTGGAAAAGGCGGTTTCTTGTAATTGCATACGGCATTCGCCTAAAAATGGACACCGTGATACCTGTTATTATAGCAACAGCTGTATTACATAATATAGCTCGTAATATGAATGAGCCAGAGCTACCCGCAGCTGATGAAATGAATATGGACGAATTAAATTATTTAATTGAAATAGGAAATCTACAGGATGTACCGAACATGCCAAATGCTGACAGAAATGTTAATATTAATTTTGTTCAAGGAGACTTGATTCGCAATTGTTTTGAAGGAAATTAAACTATATAAAAGAAAAGTTATATTTATTTAATAATACTCTATAGGTATACCATATTTTTTGTTTAGAAACAAAAAAGAAATAAAAGTAAAATAAATACAAACTTTACAACATATCTTGAAAATATATAACTACAATTTACAAATTATTTAAAGAACTAAAAACTAAACAAACTAAAAAAAAATCAAACAATTAAAAAACACAGGGGATCGGTATAGCTCAGTGGTTAGAGTCTGGACTTTCGGATTCAAGGGTCCCGAGTTCTAATCCTGCCGATGGCAGGGATTTTTATTTAATTTAATAAATTAAAAATTAATTCTAATGTATGGGTTAGATGTCCCGACCATTCACAGTTGGGTTCTAATTAACCGTGCTGTTCCTAAAGTGGTGCTGTGACACAGTAACAAAGCCTACACAGAACACGAGGTTAATAATCATAGCAGTTGATGCAAATTACAAAAAATAAAGAAAAATAAATAACACAATTTTCAAACACGATAAAAACTCACAATGCACCATACGAAACACGTCTTTAACGAATATTAAGGTTATGTATATTACTTTCTTCGAGCAAAATCAGCTTATCACCACCGCGCGGGAAATCTTAATTTGAATCTCCTATAGTTTTCATTTTAGGATATCTTTCTTATATCTATCAGTAGAGAATGAAATACGATGTTTTAAAAATTGTAACTTACTATTTTTTTGTAAAAACAAACTCTGGAAACTTTGTACATATTTGCATTCATAAATATATATAATATAGATTTTAAATAAACTACTTATTACACTAAGTATATCTTATTGTTGAATTTTCTCTTTTAATGTGAGAATAAATCAAGTTTATCGATGAAGGAAAATGCTGGTTATAAAAAAAAAACAATTACTGTTAGACTTACGATTTTCGTTCAAATATGCTTATAACTTTTACTTTAATAAAAATCTTAATAGTAAAAAATATCTGTAAAAGCAATTGATTTTTTTTTAATTCAAATCAGCTTTACTTAACCAGAAATAGTAGAAGTAAGAACGTGTAAATTCGGACCTGATTTTTCGCCATTTTAGTAAATGCAAAAGACGCGTCCACCGATCCTAATTTTGTATATCAAAAATAGTTACAAATGACTTATCCTCAGGTTGATTATCAATGTATACAAGGCTAGTACAATAATGTAAAAAACAAGTAGCCTATTTATTATGACAAATGACAAGAGCGCAGGAAAATTAATTTGAATCGCCAACTAATAAGTTTTAATTCAAAATCGAGAAGGGACAAAATTTAACTCTAGAATGGTTATGAAATCATGAGTAAAACAATGACAAATATGTAAATAACCATGAATCTATTAATGCATTATTTTAAAACTTACCAAAAACTCTGGTAACAAATCCCAACGGGAACTGTGATGCAAAAACTGTCAATAACCACGGTGCGGCATACAAAGTAGGTGCAACTTCATAAAAATCAAAATGTTCATAGATATCAGGTAACTGATCGTGTAACAGTCTTGAAAGTTGATAAAGTTTTATCTGAAGGCTGACCATATCGGGAAGGTATTGTGTGCGCATTCCTCTGCGAAACATGAGATGCCTCAAGAGAAGGAAGGCTTGCGATTCTTCAAGCTGAAAAAACAAAAAATATATTTATGCATGACCGGGCGATAAAATCCAGATTATAAATACGTTTAGCGGGCGCAAAGTGCCCCTTTATCGCCCGCAGACAACTTTACCGATTGCGAACTACTTTACCGCCCGCCGGGCGATAAAGTATAGTAGTATATTATTTAACGAGCGGGTACTACAAGCCGCAGGCGAGTAGTATAATCATCCGACTGAGTAATAGCCATTACCCGCGAATAGAATACTATATTTTTTCTAGGATTATTAATTTAAATAATAGAAAAGAGTTATACAATAAATTAAATAAAATTCATTTATTTGATCCAAAATTAATTGTCAATTGGTGTAGGTTGTAGTTGTAATTTTGTTGAAAATAATTAAGTAATGAAAGAAGTAATTAAGTAATGAAAAACAAAAAACTCACTATAAGAGTAACCAGTAACCACTTACATTAATCAATAGAAAGTAGATGTATACTTATATTGTTAAATAGTCATAGAAAAAATTATTTTTTTCTGTGTCGGGAAAAAAGTTTGACATTTTATCTCTCTTGTCAGGTAACAAAATGTCACTTTTATATTTACTTTTTTTCCTGGGAAAAAGTGTTTCCCCGCGAAAAAGTGTTTCCCCGAGAAAAAGTTATAGTTTTTTCCCGGATATATACCTATACACATAAGTAAAGGTATATTTTAGAATATTTTTTCATTATTAAATCGTCGTTTTTTCCGTCACAGAAAAAACAGTGTATTATGCACGGGAAAAATATTAGATTTTAGCTCTAGGTTTTTTTGTATCCCTCCGCTTTGCGTCGGGAGACAACACAACCTCGAGCTAACATCTAATACTTTTTTGTCCATTGTGTTTTTTTGCTTGCTATTTGTAGTATATTCAATCTTGGATATCGAGTATTGCTTTGGCCTTTAAAGTATCAGTTGAGCCCGACTTGACAGCCCAAGAAGACCTTGAAGACGTGTTTTTTGATTTTAAGGATGATGTCGAGGTTAATGTTTCTTCGGATACTGCTATAAATTGAATTTGAATTCCTCAAATACCTGAATGATAAAATGACCACCTTGTCAATGCTGTACGAATACAATATTGTTAAACAGTTATTTATAAAGTATAACTGTATTTTACCGTCATTTGCCCCTGTGGAACGATTATTTTCTTTTGCTGAAATAATTAATGCTCCTAGACGTCATGCGTTAAGTGACACCAACTTTGAAAAGTTGGTACTGCTCAAAAGTAACAAACACGTATTTTAGGAAACGTATTAGTTATTTATTTTATTTTTTTCAAAGTATCCGATATCCTAATCCTAATAATATGTATTTTGGTTAGGTACCTACTTTAAAATAATGTTATTCTTGAAAAACAATACCTATGTACTTGTGTTGTTATTCTCATACTCATATTCTCATGTTATGTGTTACGTATATGACTTTGACTTCTTTGTTACCCATACTAAATACAGTTTAGTAAATCCTCAGGACGTCAAGAAATAGATATCTACAGAACGTCAATTCTACGTGCTTTACTATATTTTCATGGATTCACATTCGCATTGTATTATTATTTGGTTATATTATATAAAAAACATATATATTGACAATATAAATAATTATTAAAGATGGCAATGTCCCAATATCAAATTGAATGAGGGCCAAATAGACAAAAACGAAGAAGGTCAAGGGACATTGTTGACAAGTGACATTTTATTTTTTATTTTTATTTATTTAGATTCAAGATTCAAGCACTAAAATATTCTCAGGGCTCAGGTTTTATTAAAAAAAAAAGAAAAAAAAAACATGGTGTTCAATGTTTATGATTCGATGGTATATACATATTATACGAGTACAAGTTCTATCATCCATATGACTGTGATTCGACTCTGTGAGTTTGTGGTTGATTAATATTAATTTTTTGCAGTTTGTACCATTATTTTATGTCTAAGAAAGGTGGAAGTTTTCCAATGAATACTACAAAGCTAAAAAGTTAGTGAATTTATAAAGTCTAGCAAGGCAAACTTAAACAAACAGATTGGATTTTAATATTGGGCGCGTTCGGCCGACGCAACAGTTGATTAAAACTGAAAACATGTTTCTGATATGGTGGAAGTCAACAATTAAAAGTACCTGAACAGTATAAGTTGGTTCAGCGGTTAGACAATATACCAATGAACTGGAGTGGGGTAGAATGCTTGTCAATAGGCTTGAGATGCGACTCTATGGGCAAAGACAGGTTATTTTTCATCTCACTCGGGAGTATTTATAACAACCATTTTCTATTTCACTTTGTTATTGTTTGATCCACCAGCTTGTGGATTGAACAATAACAATGTGAAACAGAAAATAGTTATTATAAATACTTCCGAGTGAGATGAGAAATAAAAATGGCTGCGCCCATAGAGTCGCATCTTGTTCTATTCTCCGAGCTCGGAGGTTCTATTAATACAATATGCACATTGGCTTTCTACTTCACTCCAGTTCATTGCAATATACATACACGTGGTGACCTCTAGTGATGATATAAATTAAATCATTTTTGGTTACAAATTAAGATCATGTAAAAATATACTTAAGTCATAATTAGTTATAACGGACATTTTTAATTTTAGAATTTTAAAAACAACAAAAATCATGTTTAAAGTTAAGAAATGTGTGGTTATAATCACATATAATAGGCTTTATCCTCCTAGAGTAGTTAAAAATCAATAAAATGGAGACTACACAAGGAGCACGCACTCCATGTATAACAAGCGTACTGTGTTAAACAGAGTATTTTAAGAGGGCGCTAGTGTTCCATAAGTACCAAAATGGCATAAGAGAATGAGGCGGTAGTTTGAAATAAAATAAATAATTCTAATTAAATATTAATTAATTAATTAATTATAACTCTAATTATATTTATTTAATTTAAAAACATTTGACACGTGTTTACGTTAATTAAATAATCGGTTACTTTATTTTCACGCTAACTTCACATTTGTTTATTCCTCTATATTCACACCGGTACAAAAGAAAAATTAGCGACGCTAGTGGTGAAAAAAGAAAGCTTCATTTATACGATAAAGCGCGGACATACTCTGGCAATTGCCACACTTGAGTGCGTGCTCCTTGTGTAGTCTCCATGAAAAAAACACTAGTGATCTTTAAATTAAAAATTCCTTTAGTTTGCAACACTGAGTAAAATACTTCGTTTACTAAAGTCACCATAGAATTTTCCTGGTGCCGATGTTGAGCAACGGTTAAAACTAACCAAAACACAACAAGTGACGTTCAGAAGACCCAACAAGTGACCATACTCAACTGCGTCGGCTGAACGCGCCCATTGATATGCCTTTTATTTTGAATAAGCAATTAACTTATTTTCAGATTCAGCTGAGAAGGCAAATATGGCCAAATAAAAAAAAAAAAAACAACTGCTGTCAATCCAGACATGATTGAAAAGAGCAAAGTAGAGAAGAGACGGGATGAATTTGACGAAATAGTTAATAATTTTATTATTTATAGGTTATTTGCTTCCAAATAATTTTTTTTGAAAATATTCATGTTTTTCACTAATTTCCTTACATGTTGTTATTCCCCATTTAAGCTTTTGAAAATGTCCATGGAATGTCTTTAAATGGACGTTGATTATTAACAATGGACGTTCCAAAGACGTCCATAAGACGTCCACGTCCGTGAAATGGAGGTTTTAAAAATGTCCTGAATGTCCAAGCAGGACGTTTTTAGAAAGTCCATAAGATGTATCTGTGCTATCTGGGTACTAATATTATTATTTCCTTATTATTTTATTTCATCGATAGGGATACCAACTACTTTATTCTCATAATACATTTTTTTACTCAAAAAAACCATATCCCTATATATAACGTGTACCAAATTCATAATTTTCAGCATGACACTAGACTGTCTAGCATTTAACTACCAGACGATAGATCACGCAGAATTGATGACCGGAACGGGTATCGATTTGTATTTGATTGTTTTGTATAAACTAAAAAGCTAATCCTTTTATCATTCGTGTGGTTTTTGTCTTGTCGTGTTCGGTTTTTTATTCATTTACTTGTTCGCTATTTTTTTACATATACTTTAGTTACTTTCTTTATGATCTACCCCGTATAAATAATATAATATAATAAACATAAGAACAACAATACAGGGTAGCTCAAAAATTAAGAGGTTCACGACATACGTTGATATCAACGTTTCTTCTTAAAATCTCCCAAGGATTCACACCCTTAAGTATCGGCACCCAATTATTAAACCCCCTGTAATTTTTATTATCCGTTCAGTACAGTGTCTCGCCAAATTTAAAAATCTTCTACAAAGCAAAAGCCGACCAAAGTAATATAAATGCAATTTAACGGTTTTTCGAATTTTTTTACTATGAATCTGGGTTTAATCTAGCCTAAGAAATAATCTGTTAAAAATATTAGTTACATCAAACTTACATGTAGCAGAAGGACACCTGCGACGAAACTGAGTCCTTGGCAATATCCTACATCAGGATCTAGAAGGGAGTATGCTTTTAGCAGATTAAATAAAGCCAGTTGTCCGGGTCCTAGGGGACTACTAAAGTACGAATGGTTAGGAAATGTCCTTCCTAAAACAGAATAAATCAATTAAAACCAATAAAACTTTCGGAGATAGCATATAATCTATTAATCGATTAAAATAAATCTTGTGCGTATTATTAGTAACAAAAACGAAGTTTAAAAATAAATAAAACCATCAAAAATTACAACCTAACCCTCTATATTTGTAACGTGTGGAGGATGGGTTAACCCACGGCCTTTAGGCCTCACTAGGCCCATTGTGCATCCTTCTAAGTAGATAGGCACCTACAAATTTGACAACGTCGCCAAGAGGTGCATCTCTTATATCGGCTGGTGTTAGCCAATTCTCGCCGAACACAAATCTAATAAATGAGAGCGTCGAGCAATCGTAGAGGTTATGCTTGAGGGTCTCATCTTCTTGTTCGTTTCCCCTGCAGAGTGCGGATTCTGACAGCCCCATGATATGGATATGCTTCCGTACTTGGCAATGTCCAGTCAGAATGCCTGTGATCATGCGCATATTCTGTCTAGTCATAATCAAGAATTTGTTCGCTGTAGTGTTGTCAGGACAACTTAAAAGCGCCTTGGGAAGTCTGCAGCTTCTTGTTTTTCATCTTTCCTTGAATTTCACAAGGGAATGCTCTTTAATTAGGTTTAACCAACATGCATAAAAAATGAAAATTTTGATGATTTTCCCATAAACTCAATAATTATTAGATATTGAACAAATGTATATGGGACCACCCCGGAAGTACACCCTTTTTAACAAAAAAATAATCATATAAATCGGACAACTTGGTAAAGAATTATCGCTGAACATACATAAAAAAATATTCCGACGAATTGAGAACCTTCTCCTTTTTTAAAGTTGGTTAAAAACAATATAGCAGCCCCTGCCGACTTAGGCATAGGAACGCGTCATACCACTAGATACAAAAATTAGATCATATTTAACATTTCCAACACACAGGTGTTATAAAATAGCACACCACTTTTGTTGTTATTCCATATATTACTCTGTCCTCCTTTTCAAAAATATAAAATTTGAAATACCAACTGTTGAATAATTTATCTTATCACACTGACCATTACATAATTTGAAGTCAAAGTTGCGAACAACATCATTCAATGGCAGCCTTCATGAAAGCCGTACCAATAATATCCATCTAGTTAAAAAATATATCGCTTTTAATTTTAGATAATAATTCTCTAAGAAAATCTGTATGAGTCTCATCCAGAACAGACCTATTAAAACTTAGAATTCCATCCTATTTAACTGTTAACATAAGTAATGCATAAAAAACATTTGTAAACCAAATCTCACAATTGATAATAATTGTTGAACACTATTTTACGTTAAATAATGTAATTTGATTTTTTTTAAGAAAAATTATACATATTTCTACAGCAGACAGCAACAAAATCAAAAAAACCTCCTTCGAATCAGATTTAAATCAGAAAAATGTTTTCTACATGGTCCTTCGAGCCGGATATAAATCAATAAAACAAATAAAAAACAGGATTACTTTGTTTTGATCATCAGCTGGAAATATTTATAATTACAATGTACATAAATACTCACCTAAGTCTATTAAAATAGCATGCTGGTGCGAAGTAAGCTGCTTCAACAGAGTCTCATAAGGAATATGATAATTTGGATACTTGACGGTATCCATCGGTGCAAGTTTCGTGCAATATCTCTCAGACAAAAACAGCCAAACGTCACCTCTTTTTCCTCTCGGTACTCCTTGCCTAATAGCTTGAAGTAACATGACTGGATCCGGTTTAACACTGTGGCCATCCTTTTTGTTGATCACCATTTCCCATACCTCCAACTCTCTTTGATTCATGCGCATGTCGTCGTATTCTAGTTTTATTCTTTTTACCGCCGATTCTTCTTGCTTGGCTGAAAAACAATTTCCAAAAATGTATTCTACTTCCACGTTGACGCAGAAATAGGATTAAAAAAATCAAATTGTTTAGTTAGGCAAATAGGAATCAAAAATGCGATAAAGTCACGATGAAGATGTTTTTACCTCGAGATGCAGCAACATAACACTTGGTGCTATTGAAAAACATTTTACCTCGAATTTTGGCGTTTTCCTTTTCCATCCTGACTAACAAAATAGCTTGATAAATTGATTTCTTCCATAAAATTTTCAGTTCTTCCTTTGTCCTTTTTCTGTCGGGCATCTGTTCCTTTTCTGGTTTAGGTGTAGCTACTCTTTTAAAAATGGCGTGTCTCCATGATCCAGAGTCGGCTTTACTGGAAGCTTCATCGTAAGAAACGGTGGTTTTAGGGCTGTTGCCAACTTTCAAAAATCTAGAATATAAAAGTTATATTCATATGTCTTTAATACTTTAAGATTTTCATTGGATTTATTTTCAAAATGCCCTTGAATAAGCAATGTGAAGTGGGTGGATATTAACAATCGGTATGGGAGAAGCCCATCAAATGGCCTATTACTAACGTTAAGCCTGCAGGATTTTGGCCATCTGAGAGGCTGGCTGTCTCTAGACAACTTTCGTTGATAACCAGAAGGATTATTGACGAGCTAAGAGGCAGGTTCTATATGCCCCTAGAAGATGCACAATGGGCATAGTGAGACTAAAGTGCTATGAGGGCAACCCGTCCTCCCCACCTTACAGATGAAGGTGCTCTTGAATACACAGCTAAGGTATATTAACGAAAGTTGGCTTCCAAAATATGTACACCATTATTTGTCAGCTAATCGTATATGAACCCTTAGAAGCAGTTAGACAATATTCGAGCGTCGTCTTTTAGAGAGCTCTAGAAATTTCTTTATTCCGCTTCGAAGCGACAACATCGATGAGACAGTGACACAATAGAGGACTTCTATACAAGGGAAGTGCAACCAACTTAACAAAATAAAATTGACACTAATGACATAAGAAATCGGGTCACATAGAAGGCTGTTTTTTAGTTTATTTTTTGGTTTTTCATATCTGTTTTTATGCCATTTACATACCATGGTGTACCCGTAAGGTAAAAAAGACTTTTTTGTTTAGGGTATTATATATTTAAAGGTTGAAAAAATTTGTCAGTGTCATCTGTCAATTATATTGATGATAGAACACAGGCGTAACCATAGATGGGCATAAGGTAGCTATTTTTGTATATGGTTGTATAATGTATGGAACTTGTATTTGTAGTAGCAGCATTTTTGAATTTGACATAAGTATATAACACCAAATGAAAAAAATGTTTAAAGAAACCGGGAGAAACACAAATAGACTATTAACAATAAAAAAATAAGTCGCAATGCTACGCTTATGTTTTGATATTATCGACAGCTGATATTGACAAATGTATTCAACCTTTACATGTAAAATACCCTAAAATAAAAAGTCTTTTTTACGTTACGGGTACAACATGGTATGTAAATGTCATAAAAGTATATGAGAGAAACCAAAAATTGAACAAAAAAACAGCCTCTTTATGTGACCCGATTTCTTATGTCAGTGTCAATTTTATTTCGTCAAGTTGGTTGCACTTCCCTTGTATAGAAGTCCTCTATTCGTTGTTCGCATATAAATTGCTACATACTTTCTCCACTACAAACGATATGTAAAATTCTAAACTTTGCACATAGTTAGTTATTAAATACGCTATATTTGAAAATCATCTCATCTGATGATATTGACATTATTTGGCCCTTTGCCAAATCTGCAATAACTGTTGGGCGATGAAACCGACCTGGCTTCATTTTGAATTAATATATACAACGGTGGTACGTGGTAGGTTTAACATGACTGCTGCTGCTGCTGATATTGGGGTTGTTCCCATGGTTCTCGTGGCTGCCTTTATTTCGTGGACTATTTATTTTGGGCATTAATCTTCCTTATGTCCAAGTATCTTATGGAGTTATTTAGTCTTATGGTTGTCCTCTACACTGGTATAACATTCTCTTTTTCTATAAAAGACCAAGTTTTTGGTCCGTCATTCAGTTCCAGGTTGTAGTCGGCCTTTATCTAACGATTAACAATGACAGAATAAGGTCTCATCTGGTAAAACTAGCTGAGTACCAGGACACAAATATATTTTAGGAAATGAAAAGGCAGATGAATTCGCCAAAGAGGGATCGGAACTGCCATTGACAGGACCAAAACCTGTATTTGGGATTAGCAAAATCTCTGCTCGACAGGTAGTGAGCAGGTGATAACCACAAAACACCAAACTCACAGGCAACAGATAAGAGGGCACATAATCAGTAAATCTTATACTAAAGGAACTGAATCCACGCATGGCTACTGAGGTACTACACCATTGTGGGATTACTACCGCGACATTGCTTATTGAAACAACTTCATGTATTGGGATTACACAATGATCCCACAACGTGTCGACTGTGCATGGAAGAGGAAGAAACCTCATACCATGTGATCTTCGAATTCGAAGCTCTTGCTAGGCGGCGTCTCATTTTTTTCGGCCTAGAACCGGAAAGAACGCTTCAGGAATACTTAGTAGGGAACTTAGTTAAACTAACCACAAGCGCAGGACTATTCCAAAGATAGTATCTGAATACAGGAAGCCGCAGAATTCTGATCTACATATAACTCTTCCTGATTATAACCGACAAAGATAAATAAGGTCATCTGCGTAAGCGATCAATGAAGCTAACTAGAACACATGTATTACTAATCTAATTATACGCGGATTCAAATCACAGCTAATGGTGAGGCCTTATTTTTCATTCGCCTGGTATGGTATACCAGAAAATTTTCTTATACCCACTTATTAACATTTTTCCCTGCGTTTCTGTCCGATAATGCAAAACACCCTTCTTGTCATCTATGCGTGTGTATGTATGTTCGCCGACACGATAACTGTAGAACAAAGGTCTTTTTTTGCAAGAATTAATACGAAATTTAGAAAAAACTCGCATCTAAATAACATATTCATATTCAAAAAGGTAAAGGGCTCATATATTATTTTTAAACTGAGTGGCATTAGGAGTAAAGGGTCCAAATATTTAAATATTTTTACATGGGCAGGCTTAATGGACAATAGGCCAAATTATTTTTGCGTGAGCAGGCGTAAGAGGTAAAAGGATCACAAACAGACTTAAGAGGTAAATAGTACTAATTTTTTTACATGTGCAGGCTTAAGCCTAAATATTTTTACAGGTACATGCTTAAATGTGAGGCTGAAGAGGTAAAGGTGCCATACATTTTTGCCAAATATTTTACATGGACAAACTAAAGAGGTAAAGGGCGTAAATATTTTTACATGCGCGGACTTAAACTTAAAAATTCAACGTTTCGTTCTAAATCAAATCGTCTCTCGTTTATTTTATTTCAATAGGTTTTAAATATGAAACTGTTAGATGGTCCTATAAAATATCCAATTTGAAATAAAAGCGCTGGTATAAGAAAGAAATAAATAGCTTCCTTACATGTCCATCATGGGAGATTTTGGTCCTTTTTCAGAAGGTGTGCTCTTTTCTGGCGACACCGAGTATTTGTTCGAGTATTCTTTAACATTGAGATGCGAATCGGTAAGATCACTTTTTGATCCAATTGTGGAAGATCGAGATCTAGAACCTTCAGAATCTCTATCAGATGTATCGTTGGGTGACGTATCCTAAAAATAAAAAAAGATTTTCATTGTTACTAATTTGCTCACACTAAATAAAAGTAGAACACTTACCCTATTATTGGCGTTATTAATAATAGTCAAGTTTAATCCTTTTAGACTTGCACCGATATCATCTTTGGAAGCTTTTCTTTTGAGTAATTGATCAAAAGAATTGCTAAGGCTCCTTTTAGCCTTTATGAATACATTGCTGCTTCCAAGATACTGATTCAAAAACTCTGATCGGTTTTCTGCCGTATCGTGAACGTGTCTTCCTTGTTTCGACTCGCAATGGGCTCGTAGCAACATCATCAGGAATTCATTTTGTTCGCGAACAGAGTCAGTTTCAGCACCGCGGAATTTTGTGAGGATTATTGATTGTTCGTCTTCGTCTAGTTGTTCTATTCTGAAAATAATATTTATCACATACAAAAATGAATATAAATTCTGCTGAGACGGTCTTCGTGATACAAAAGATGCTGCAGAACATAATCCCAATAACTTAAAATACAAATTTCTTGCGGGAAAAGTTTATGAAATCACCTGTTTGTGCGTTACAACTCCTAGTATAACAGATGCTATTTTTATATTTAACATTCACTCCATATGTTACAATTTAGCAATTTAGATGTAAGTTAATACAAACGCTTCCACAATTAGAGTAAGGACTGTGGAAAATAAAAACAGCTAGAGACAAAGTGTGGATGACGGAGTTATAGAATTATACATAAAAAAATTCAATATTATTTGGCATCTGGACTAATTGTTCAGCGGCTACATCCAGGCGATGGCATTCATAGGTTAGAATTTTGTAGGTTGATTGTAAATCATAAACCAGTTCTAATAGGACATTGTTTACAGATAAAGCACAGTTTTCAAGGGATGGAATAAACAATTCCCGTAATTAACTTGTTTGTGCAAAAGACAATCCGGATGTTGTTAGAGAGTTTCGGTCTGTTAAGGTTTTTGGTGAACCTGGATAACATCAAATTTATTTAAAAAAAAATTAAGTTATATTTTTGTCACACATACTATGGGGGAGTGGGGAAAGTGAGTCATAGGGGGCAAGTGCGTCTTAGCCGGCAACAATCGGTGCAGTTCACCTACAACAACAAGTGGATGGTGTCTATGAAAATTTACCGGAAAATTTCTAAAACTAAGGTAAATATACATATTTTTTTTGTATTTTACGTGTTGTTATGTTATTATTGAGGTAAATTACACAAGGGTTTTTCTAAATTTAAAGGCACTATCTAGATAATTCAATATAAACATAACATAACTTCATATTCGAGAAATACCGCCTGATTCTTAGAACGTTGCCAAATGTACCTGTTGAGCTTGATTTTGTTTTTTAAATTTTGATGTCGCTGTGAGGCAAGTGAGTCATAGCCCCACAGTTGGTTTATTATAGGATTATTTTAAATAAGTTTTTTTTTGCAGTGGTGGAAAATGGTCCGTACCTACGTGCGCAAGACCCAAAAGGGATCATATTCCGAAGATGCTATGCAGCGTTGCTTAGAAGCTATTTAGAATAAGGAGATGTCAATCAAGAAAGCTAGTGTGGTTTTTAACGTTCCGAGAACCAGCATACACTCACGATTGAAGCGACAGGGGCAGAATCCGGTTCTAAACCTAGGCAGGTTCAAACCCGTGTTCAGTGAAAAAATGGAATTGAGTGAACATATAATACACTTAGAGAAGCTATTCTATGGACTCTCAACGGCAGATCTTCGACGGAATGCATTTCAGTTTGCTGAAGTTAACCAAATCAATCATCCGTTCAATAAAGATCGGAAGCTGGCAGGTAAAGACTGGCTGATATCATTTTTAAAGAGTCTAAAAAAACCTCTCTATTAGAAGACCTGAAGCAACAAGCATTGTGAGAGTGACAGGATCTTCCAAGCACAGAGTCAATGAGTATTTAGAAGGGCTCTTGGACAAGTACAATTTCCCTCCGTATCGCATATTTAACTGTGCTGAGACAGGGATTTCCTGCGTTCAAAAACCAGGAAAAATTGTAGCGGAAAAGGAAAGAAAGTAAGTGAGAAGATTAACTTCATTGGAAAGAGGAAAAAATACTACATTACTAGCATGTGTTAGTGCTACAGGCATATTCATTCTACCATTTATGGTCTTCCCTCGTGTAAGAATGAACCCAACCTTGTTAAATGGTGCGTTTCCTGGAACAGTAGAATTCCCTGCTCAATCCGGATGGATGGATGCCGACCTATTTGTTAAATTTTTAAAACATTTTATAGACTCTACACAAACAACCAAAGAGTCTCCGAGCCTACTGATACTAGACGCTCATTCAAGTCACAAGTCCATTTAATCAATAACCCTGGCTAGATATTCTGGAGTTTCTGTTTTGACGTTATCACCTCATACTTCGAATAGGCTACATCCTCTTGATGTAAGCGTATTTGTGCCCTTCAAAACCTACCTAGCAAGAGAAATGGACCACTGGCTGACAAATCACCCTGGCTCTAGAATCACCGAATATGACATGGCTCCTATTATAAAAAACGCCCTTATTAAAGCATTTACACCAATAAATTTTATGAAGGGTTTTAAAAAAATAGGAATCTTCTCTTATGACCCGGATGTGTTCCAAGAGAGGCGACTTTGAGGCGGCCGAGAACATTCTTCAAAAAGAATCAAATCCAGAAAGCGTCAATCCCTTGGTCAATTACGTAAACTTGGAAGATGTACCTAATGCAGAATTACCTGAAGATGACATCTAAAATGATCCTAACATACTACCAGTTTTAGAGGCAACAGAACAACCGTCATGCAGTTCTGTTTCTATTTCAAATTCAAGCCTAATCTCGAAACCATCTCAAGGGAAAAGCAACTCCAAAGCACTTTTAGAACCAGATCAACCGTCATACAGTTCTGTTTCTATTTCAAATTCAAGTCTAATCTTGAAACCATCTCAAAGGCAAAGCAACTCCAAAACAATTTTAGAACCAGATCAACCACCATGCAGTTATGTCTCTATCTCAGAATTAATTCCAATACCAAAACCCTGTCAAGAGAAAAGAAAAATCAAAGCAAAATCCAGAACCACAGAAGGATCGAAAATAATCACCAGCTCACCTTACAAAGATCAACTCGAAGAGAAATTGAAAGATAAATTAAAAACAGTAAAAGCTAAATCAGTCAAAAAGAATTTTAACAAATCAGGGCCAAGTTCGTGTCTTGAAAATGTGAAAGAAAAAGAAAACTTGAGAGAAAAGAAAAAAGGTGCATCGGCAAAAGCATCAGCAGCAATGTCAGAGGAAGAGAAAGCCACAATATGCGTTTATTATCATGAGACATACGGAGACACTTATCACGACGAATGGATTATGTGCATAAAATGTGGTTCTTGGATGTATGAGGAGTGTTCCGATAACGAACCGGATGCTGATAACTATGTTTGTGACAACTACCGATGATAATTAGTATAAAGACTCACTTGCCCCAACTGGGTGATTCATTTGCCCCATAACTTGGGACAAGTGAGTCATTTGACAATTTTTTTCCTAAGTCTGACCTTTAATTAAAACTTTAAATTTTCCTCATTTTTCAAGGTTAGGTTATGGCCTAAAAAATTAAAGTTTATTTTTATTCAATACACGTTGTTTCATTTCTACAAGTATAAAAGTTATTAATTGTTTAACCTTAAGGTGTCTTACTTGCCCCACCCTCCCCTACAGGTATTTTAAAACCACGTTTTCGAAAGCAGGGACCTCTAAAACGTGATAATGAATATCTCCAACTTGACATTCTGTGTCATCCCGCTCAACATTATTAGAGTTTTTATTAGGGTCCTGATTTACTCCTCATTCAAAATTGTTACCTTTCATTATTTTCGAATTTACTAAATCATCTGTTATGCGACAAAAGCAAGCACTGATTCATTTTATCCGTCTACGATCGGCGCTTTTAAACAAAAAAAAGAACAATCATTAAAAGTAATGTTAAAAAACCGACTTGCCATCACCACATGATCACCAAATTTATATGGGACCACCCCTGAGGTACTCCCTTACTGACAAAAAAAGAAATCGGACAAGTTGGTAAAGAATTATCACTGAACATACATAAAAAAATATTCCGACGAATTGAGAACCTCCTCCTTTTTTGAAATCTGTTAAAACTAAACTCTTTAAATATAATTTATTTACCTTCTAAATATGGCAGCTTGGGTTTTTCTATCAGACATATTTTCAACTTCTACGCACAGTTTGTGGTACCAAACCATTGGGCAGTGTTCGCAGGACGTTATCACTTGTTTTGGTCTTGATTCAGCATTCAAAAATGCTTGAGTAATAGCTAAACAAAAAAATCTGTGGATTAGATGTACCTATTTATTAATCAAAATATTATTGCGAATTATCACTGAATAACTATTTAAAAGAATGCAATTATAGTAAACGAGAGATCTAGTTCTGCGAAAATCACATAAATTAGTAATGTTTTAGAATTTCATCAAATTTTATAAGAAATATGTCTTACAAGAGGTATTTACAAAAATATATAGAGTGGCAATTTCAATCGCACTTATAATCTCCCTCTCGTACACTTTTTGAATTTTTTCCGTTGTTTCCAAGACTTTAAAACCATTTACAAAACATCATAAAGACAAATAAAAAATATAGAACTCTTAAAAAATAAAAATGAATTAAATGTTTAAAAATCCCGCTACTTGGTACGAAAGAGGATGAAAAAAAGTCTTTTTTTATAGAGACCTATTTTAATATTTTTTTATGAAATTCGAAGAGTTGGTATTCGTAGGTACCTAAAAAGTTTTGATTTGAAAATTTACAAGAAAAGCTACTGCGATGATTTGTTTTACTGGCATATAGAACAGTTTTTTGTAATCAAATTTGGTTATTTTGATAAAGATTAGGTCAGTAGTTTAAAATGTAAAATTTATCAAATACATTCCCGCTTTTTAATTTTTTATAATTTCAAATAATCTGACTCCAGAGCAATGCCAAGAAGATCTGCTCAGTGGTATACTAAAAATTGTCTACCAACATTTTTGGATTGTGGTTTGAACGAATGCATAAATGTATTAAACAGAACAAAGTTCATATTGAAAAAAAATTATAATTTATATCGTAATCTTAAAGTTCTTGTCTTAAAATTAAAATGACTTACCCGCCATGGCATCCGTAGCTATTGAATGTGACTCACACTTAAAAATATATCCTACAAAAGTATATGTATTCGTTCCCTCTTTACAAATAAATCCAAAATGTTCTGCTCTTTTCAGCCCCTAGAAATTAATAAATAAAATAATTAAAATTATGAAAAATAGACGGATGAAGAGCTAAAAATACTACATAAAGATCATTCAAAACCGACGTATCAAACAAGGGAAAGAATGAAAGGTGTTCAGGAACTGAAGAAAATAGTAAGGTACTGCTAAGAGATTTAATAAAAAAATAAAGGCAATCTATATAAAAAAGTAATTGGTAACTTTGAAAAACTAAAAATATGAAGTAGAATGGAATTAGTACACGCCTTTGCTATGGTAACATTGTTTTGTTTGGAAACATATTATATTAAAAAGCATAGGTAAAAAATATTGATATGAAAAAGGATGTCGAAATTATTGAAAGTAAATATGTAAACGAGTGAACCCAACCCAGAATCAAAATCAACAAAAATTAAATTAAATTTATATGAGTGTATGTAAAAAAAAATCTGAGCTAGCCATTACGGGGTGTTGTGGAAATAAATTATTTATCAAACATCCTTTTTCATATCAATGTATGTGTATTTTTTGTTCTTACCTGTACACACGTGGTAATATCTTTGTGCTGTTTATTCAACAATATAATCTTTCTGTCAGGACTAATAAGCCTTAAATCAGTTCTGTCGACTTGCAAAACCATTGTCCTGTTATGGTCATCCAAATTCACGGATTTTTCATTGTTATTACAATTATTGTTACTATCGTTATCTGAGCTTCCATCTCCGGATTGTCCAGTCTTATCTGCATCGTCCAATTCATGATTTGAGTTAATATCATCTGTGCTGTCTGCGTTTTCCAGATTTTCATTTAGATTTAAGTCTTTTTGTCTTTCTGAGATTGAGGTAAGAGTCTCTAAGATTTGACTCTGTTGCCTGAGTAAATTTGAATTAACAGAGTGGGACCTGAGCAATGGATGGACTGGAGCCGATGGACAATCATCACTAGTTGAAGAGTCCTTAAAAGAAAACAATTATATTTATAATTTCTGGTTTTAAGCTTAAATAATTAAAGCGGTGCTTAGTTTGATGAGCAGTACGGCATATGACGTATGTATTACGAGGTGGCATTAATAAATACTTTGCATACCATATAAAACGCAACAATATTTCATAACAAAATATCATTTATTCAACATAATCTGCTTTATGTTTTTAATGATTATAAGCCGGTTGTCGCAGCGATGATTTTTGCTTAACCCTGTAAAGTGAACAACAAAGAACTAAAAACATTTTCAGGTACCAAATAACAACTTAATCTTTTCTAAGCACTTTTATATCTCAATTAATTATAAAAATGTAAGGTTTTTACCACAATTGTTTTTATCAATAATGCGTGTGCCCTCAAAGGGCTCTTATGACTGCAGCCATCCGTCTTTCCATACTCTAATGACGTTATCAAGCATTTCTTAAGGCAAATGCAGGCCAATCCATGGTTGGTTTTCGTAGATAACTAATTTTGATTGCCCCAATATGCCAGCAACCGCACAGTCAGATCTGTCATTTTCAACTAACGTTACAGCCCTTGAAGGCATCAGTTGGAATCACATAATTTATTGTTTTACACCGAGAAAACAAGGTCTATTAACATGTTTAGTAGACAGTGGCGTGCCGTGACATTTTTGGAAGGGGAAGCGATTGTATAAAAATACAGCACAAGCGAAAAATTTTCACGGCGCATTCACCATTTTGTCAAAATCTTGCTTTTTTTCTCGGTACTACGGATATTCGAGATTGAGATTTTTGAAGTGTTACTATTACTTTATTACCTAGTTTAATAGGTACTAGAAGCTATAAAAAAACGTACCATTAAAAAGCTTCCTTGGTTTATTTAAACGTAAAAAAAATCATTTAACTGAAGTTCTTTTTTTATTTTTTCCAGCATTTTTCGCACAGTTGACCCAGCAGTTGACATTTATTTATACTTAAGTCTATTCGCCTATCCTCAATGGCTGCAAATTTGTCTATAACATCGTCGTAAAATTTTGGATTTTCTGATAACTGTTTAACAAGCTGTTTTTCAATGGCTATTAGGGCTAAATTAGAGTGAAGGGCTGTCTTCACTTTTAATGCGCTTTAAAGCCGAAAAACTTCGCTCAACTGACGCACTTGTGGCTGGGATGGTTAGTATTAAATTCACACAACTTGTCGACTTCACAAAGGGACTTATTTAAACCAGTTGTTGTAAGAAAATTTAACACATTGATGGGCGTCTTTTTATCACTAATTTCAGTTGTTTCGTGGACAACACTTAACGGGGACTTTATTGCTGGAATATCGAAAAAATTTTAGTTTAATTTAATTCGTTAAAGTTTTGAAATCGACAGTTCATTTGTTGTCAAATATTATCAAAAATTTCGACGTATAATCGACGATAGAAGGTCTCTCTGTCGCCGACATTATTAATTCTAATTCTCTTTCTTTCAGGTTCTAAGCCAATATTTTGAGTCTTATTCCAAAAGTGTTTAAACTGATCTCGTTTTTTATTCATTTTATTTTTAAAATCATCAATTTGTTTAATGCAAAAGTCAATCTCATTTGACTTTGTCTGTAAAATGTCGAATAAAATGTCAGTAAAAAGGAAAATCTCTGCAAAAATGTTGAGCAAAAAATTGAAATCAAAGTTTTGTTTAAGCCAATGCAAATACCCTTTAGCGGCAGTAACAGTTTCAGCATCCCATGTTTCTTTATTATCCCAACCGTCTTGAAAAAAGTGTATCAAAGAATCACGGTATTAAAACACTGTTTGCACTAAACGTCCATTGTAGTTCCATCGCGTCGGAGCAACTTTTGGAAACCTTTTTTGAACGTAAATGTCCAAAGCGCGAGTTCTTTTCGACGACTTTGAAAAGAAGGAAGCCAAACCACTAAGCGTCGAACAGAAAACTTTGCAATCTTTAATATTATTCATGCTTCGCGATAAAACCAAATTAAGTCTATGTGCTATACAGTGAACGAAAATTGCATTTTAAAATTTCTCTTTCACTTTAGCTTGAAGGCCTCTTAAATGGCCAGCTATTACGGCAGCACCATCGTAGCTCTGGGCAACAAGCTTAGAACCACATTCTAAACTTGAAATAATGTCACAAACAATTTTAAACAATGCATCTGCAGTTCGTTCGCTAGTGACGTCCAAAAATCCTAAGAATCGCTCCTGAGGAATGCCATCCAATACATATCGCACAACAATGGATAATTGACTTAAGTTTGCTACATCTGTGGTTTCATCAAGCGCAATTGATACGAAAGGTGCTTTTTTAATTTCACTTTTAATGTGATCCATCACAACGTCGACAGTGCATTTAATTCATTCATTTTGGATTTTGTTTGAGGTACCTCGGAAAGTCGTCGAATCAATAAAATGATTTTTTTAGGGTATCATCGTATTTTACTAAAAACTTAGAGGGTCCATGTAATTTCCTCGATTGGCGGATCCACTTGCTTCATTGTGACCCTTAAACCTTAGTTCATGCTCTCCCAGGAAACAAGTTACATCTATTATTCGTTGTAAGACGTCCCTATTTTTTTACCCTTTCATTGTGAATTTTGTTGCTTATTTTTAAATGATTGTCCAAACTATGTTCAATGCGATAGGTCCTGAATGTTTTTTCTTTAATTGTAGGACTTATATGAGATTTGCTATTTACATGTCATTTTACACTTCTGTAATACCGACTGAGTTCTAATGTGTTTTTTCGGCTATATTAAAAAGTAGGCAAGGCAAGCAAAACACTTTCTTCAAAGTTTTGCAGCCGGTTAACCATTCATACTTTTCATAGAACCCTACGTGAAAATGCCTGGTAAATTTCTTTCCTGACTTTTCTACTGTCGTCTCTAAATTGATAGGATCCTTTAGTTTACTAGAATTAATAATGTCCGTTTTCTCTTCAAAATTTCTACTTGAAAATCCTTTTTTCAATAAAGAATACATAATACAGACACAATTTACCACATTATTATTGCTCACAGGCACAGTGCATAGTTCCTCCATTTTACAAAAAGAAAAACAACTACGAAAAACAAACCGAAATCTATCTGAAGTCTACGATTTTCCTCACACATCGATTCGCGGTGCGAATTGCAATATGCGAAAGGCGACGTAAAAATCGCTGCCTCTCGACCGTATTTTACGTGTACAAACAGACTGACTACTGTCGCGGCAAGCGAAATCAATTGGAACATGAGCGGGCTTTTCAAGGGGCGCTTCCGCCGACGGAAGTATATGGTGTGCGTTTACACAATTAATTTTCTCATGAGTGGTGCGTGCGTTTACACATTACACCAATGAATTATTAGTTTATTTACGAAGTTTACGTAATGTTTCAGAGAAAATATAGTACCTAATTTAATATTAATTTCCATGCATTGTAAACTGAAAAATATTTATTTTTAAATCTCAACGTGTATGGAAGCGGTGCTTCCCCCGCTTCCATGGACCGCACGTCCCTGTTAGTAGAAAAAAATTTGATAACCACTAATAAATTACCTTATTTTTGATTAATACCAATAATTAAACGAAGGTTGCTAGAAGTCTGTTACCCTGAAACTGCTGTAATTAATTAGTTGTTTAATAACCAATAATGTATTATTAAAATACTTTAATATCCATAAGTATTGTTAATTCTATTAAATTTGTTTAATAATATTCATTAAACTCTTTAATACGTTCTAGTAATTGTTTAATAATCCTTAGTAAATATTAACGGTTTTATCCCTTCCACCCGTCGAGGACTCGAGGAAACTAGTATTCGTGCGAGGTCGAAGATCTACAATCACAATGACCACGCCACTAACCTAACTACATTCATTTTCTTTTGATTTGTGTTAATAAAAAAGTGTCTTAATTGTTGCATGGTTGGATTGTGCCTGAGCCGGTTGTGTGTTCGTAGTGCTGTGTATGTTTTATGTACATTTTACCAGACGCAGAATGTATTATGATACACAATTTAATTACACATTTTGTGGTTAGTAATGTAAGACAAAATCGCCCATGAATTGACCAATTAATGTTTTGCACACCCTTTTATATGTAGCTGGGCTCGTATATGTTTTGTTTTTATTTATTTTTTGTTAGAATTCTCTAGTGACGCAATAAATTGTTTAAAAGTATTTACATTTTTTAATTTTTTCTCACCTGTCCTATATATTCTTATTTTTAAAGCATGATACATAAATAAGTTACTTAGATAAACTTGTTTTGTGTTTTCTAACGTTTTTGCAAATGTCCATAATATGAAATATATCTGTATGCAAACTTTTAGCAGTACCCAGTTTTAAAGTTTATTATATAAAAGCTTTATTATGTGTAATCCTCTAAAGCCACTTTTTCAAAATTTTAAGTTTATTTTCTAAAACAAAGAATGTTAAAAAAGTTTTTGTGATGTTTTTTCCATATAAACTAAATAAAATGTTTGATAGGTAGCTCTAGAGTAAGACATATTTAATCTATACAACGTATTTACTTTAAGAGTGGGGTATACTATCAAAAGTTTACATATATTTCTTATTGTAGTTAAATAAGAGACAATTGCCAATTTATTTGGGGTGGAGGGGATTTGATCGACCTCTATCAACCTATTTAATAAGCACAATTAAAGTGGTTTAATAAGCAGTATTAAAACTTGTAAATGCCCATCAATAAACCATTTAATAACAGTTATTAATTTATTAATATTTATTAACTAAACGCTATTAGACTGTTCAATACCTATCATTACGCTGTTTAATAATGACTATTAAAGTATTTAGTTTTTCTATTAAACTGTATAATACCTGTTATTAAATTATTTACTAATGTAAAGAACAACTTTTACATGTATAATAAATATTAAACACATTTTAAAAACATTAATAACACGAAAGTTTATAAATGAAAACAACAAAAACAAACAAAAATTTTTTCTTGGGCATAACATAATCGCATGACCAGAAAATATAAAATGAAAAAAATTATAACGTA